TCAAGAATTACCGCCCCGTCAGCAACCTCTCCTTTCTCTCAAAAATCATAGAAAAACTCATACTCTCTCAGCTCTCTGGCTATCTTCATTCTCGCAATCTCTATCCTTCCTCTCAGTCCGCCTACCGACTTGGTCATAGCACAGAAACAGCACTGGTCCGAGTCATGAGTGACCTCCTGCGCGCGATGGACGATGGCAAACTCTCTATTCTCACTCTGTTAGATCTCTCTGCTGCATTTGATACCATTGACCACCAGATTCTTCTTGACCGCCTTCATCTTTCTTTCGGACTTACTGGCTCAGCTTTAAACTGGTTTCAATCATATCTTTCTGACAGAACTCAAAAAGTCTCTATTTCCAACCGCTCTTCCAAACCTTCAGCCCTGTCTATTGGAGTTCCTCAAGGATCGGTCCTTGGGCCGGTCCTTTTCATCCTCTACACTAAACCTCTATCATCTCTCATTAGCCACCACTCAGTTTCCAGTCAATCCTTTGCTGATGACACTCAAATCAGTGACTCTTGCTTTCCTGATCAACTTGATGCCACAATCCTTCGCATACAGGAGTGCGTGGACGATGTAAAGCGTTGGATGACTTGCAACAAACTGAAGCTAAATGATGATAAAACGGAAATCCTTCTCATCCACTCTCAAAACAAACCTCTCCCTCCATTCGCTCCTTCTTCTATATCTATTGGCAACTCTGACATCACACTCTCTCCCTCTGCCAGAAACCTTGGAGTCACGCTTACGGACACCCTCTCCATGGACAAACATGTCACGAATATATGCAGATCAGCATATAACGAAATTAGAAAAATCAGCACCATTAGACACCTCCTCTCCTTTGATGCCACAAAAACTCTCGTCTCTTCACTCATTCTTTCAAAATTTGACTACTGTAACATTCTTCTCTCAGGCATTCCTCAACACCACATAGAAAAACTTCAGAAGGCACAGAACTCAGCATGCAGACTCATTTTTAAATTAAAGAAACATGACCACATTCAACCACACATGCGGCAACTCCACTGGCTTCCAATATCCTCTCGCATCAAATACAAGTCTTCCAATCTTTGCTTCAACTCGTTCACTGACCCTCACTTTCCTGTCTATCTCTCTGAACTGTTGCTTCCTTACATCCCCACAAGACAACTACGTTCTTCCATTGACAGTAGAACCCTCTCAATCCCAAGAACTAAAACTAAGACCATCGGTGAACGCTCCTTCTGCTTCCATGGGCCCACGTTCTGGAACCAGCTCCCCTTCCATATACGTCATAGTGAAACCTCGTCCATTTTCAAAAAGTCCCTTAAAACTCATCTGTTTAGGTCCGCCTATGACCTGTGATGCACCCTCCTTGCCCTACCTAATTTTCTGTTTCGGTTTAATCCTGAAGTGTCAAAGTGTCCTCTTTTTATAGCCATTTTCATTGTTTCTATAGAATAGTAGTTACTATCCTAGTGTCTCATTTGTATTTACTTAGTTTACATGTTTTAATAGTTGTAAAGCGCTTAGAGCTTTATGATAAGCGCTATATAAAAATGCCTAAATAAATAAATAAATAAATAAATTAACAGCATAAGGACTCCCTGCCATTCCAGAAGAGGTACATCCCAAAAAGATAGAAGATGGACTCCCTGAAAATGCAGAAGATGGCCTCACTGGAAATTTCGGAGAGGTAGGCCTACTCCCTGAAAATACAGAAGATGGACTCCCTTAAAACACAGAATATAGACTCGCTGAAAATACAGCATATAGACTCGCTGAAAATACAGAATATAGACTCGCTGAAAATACAGCATATAGACTCGCTGAAAATACAGCATATAGACTCGCTGAAAATACAGAATATAGACTCGCTGAAAATACAGCATATAGACTCGCTGAAAATACAGCATATAGACTCGCTGAAAATACAGCCTATAGACTCGCTGAAAATACAGAATATAGACTCCCTGAAATTACAGAAGATGGACTCCCTGAAAATACAGCAGATACATTTCCTGGTGTCAATAGCTTACTGCAGAGTAAAAACTGCACTTTATAACCATTTAAAACACATCCTGGTCGTGATGTCAAAGGTCAGGTCAAAACACTGCCGTGGGATCAGCCACTCAATGATAAACAATCTCTTCACTGTAATTTCAGTGAGAGTTTTTCCTGTAGAGCATTGATAGATGTAGTTGATTTCTATAAACCTTACTCAGACATTTCCTCTGTAGGAAGATTGCCACAAATATTGTCTCATTATAGACTGTGATTACATTTAAAAAAAAAGAAAAAGAAACACAACTCAAACTCAAAGGAATGTAAAAAAAAAAAGTTTTGCTTGTATCTGCTTATATCGCCCTCTGCTTTTTAGGACAATACATTTTAAATATATTTATGTTAAAAAAATGTAATTCAGTGTGATGAAATGAACGACCTTCATACAAAATGTTTTGACCGCTGCCTGGTGTGAAATTTTTCTGCAAAAATTTAGTATATTTTTTAACATATTCCACATAACCCATCCATAAAAATTATTATATTGAAGCAAATACATATGAATAATTTAGTTTTGCCAGAAAATGAAATAAAATAAAATTTCCAAGTCCAATTAATGCGCGAAAAACATGCTCTCAAAGCACCTGACCTGGTCAGCTGGTGGTGCTGCTCTCACAACACCTGGCCGGCTGGTGGTGCCGCTCTCACAGCACCTGTGGTCGTAACTTTCTAAGTTTGGGATGTTAATATTTTAACGTCCCTAAATACAGCCCTCCCCATCCTGGGGTGGTGCCAGACGCCCCCCTTTGCAGGGAATTCTACACGTGGTTTCTACTTTGTGATTAAGCCACATTGTAACCGGGACGAAACGGTTGCCTGGGAACAGTGCCCTCATAGGTTGTCCAACAGAACCATGGGCTGTCAAATGGTTGTTTGGAAACAGTGCCCTCATGGGCTTTCCAACATACCATGGGCCGCCAAACGGTTGCCTGGGAACAGTGCCCTCATGGGCTGTCCAACAGAACCATGGGCTGCCAAACGGTTGCCTGGGAACAGTGCCCTCATGGGCTGTCCAACAGAACCATGGGCTGCCACAACCCACCTGTGCCTCATATCCACTAAAAAATCTCGTGCTGCTGAAAAAATTGACCACTAAAACATCTGCTGCTGCTGAAAAAATTGACCACTAAAACATCTGCTGCTGCTGAAAAAATTGACCACTAAAACATCTGCTGCTGCTGAAAAAATTGACCACTAAAACATCTGGTGCTGCTGAAAAAATTGACCACTAAAACATCTGGTGCTGCTAAAAAAATTGACCACTAAAACATCTGCTGCTGCTGAAAAAATTGACCACTAAAACATCTGCTGCTGCTGAAAAAATTGACCACTAAAACATCTGGTGCTGCTGAAAAAATTGACCACTAAAACATCTGGTGCTGCTGAAAAAATTGACCACTAAAACATCTGCTGCTGCTGAAAAAATTGACCACTAAAACATCTGCTGCTGCTGAAAAAATTGACCACTAAAACATCTGGTGCTGCTGAAAAAATTGACCACTAAAACATCTGCTGCTGCTGAAAAAATTGACCACTAAAACATCTGCTGCTGCTGAAAAAATTGACCACTAAAACATCTGGTGCTGCTGAAAAAATTGACCACTAAAACATCTGGTGCTGCTAAAAAAATTGACCACTAAAACATCTGCTGCTGCTAAAAAAATTGACCACTAAAACATCTGCTGCTGCTGAAAAAATTGACCACTAAAACATCTGCTGCTGCTGAAAAAATTGACCACTAAAACATCTGCTGCTGCTGAAAAAATTGACCACTAAAACATCTGGTGCTGCTAAAAAATTTACCACTAAAACATCTGCTGCTGCTAAAAAAATTTGATCAATAAAACATCGGGTGTTGCTAAAAAAAAAAAAAATCAAATAAACTTGACTTTTATTGTTAAAGGCAAATTCAACTAAGAATAGCTACATCATGTATGTGTCTTCTAGCACCACTTGGCACTGTACACCGCACTCCTGGATTTCGGGCACCCCTGGTTAATAAACCCTGCCTTGGCAATCCCTAGTCTCCTTAATGGCCCACATTTATCACAACGTAATGACGCACTGGGACACATTTATTACCACGCGTAATGACGCACTGGCCCACATTTATCACCACGTAATGACGCACTGGGACACATTTATTACCACGCGTAATGACGCACTGGGACACATTTATCACCACGTAATGACGCACTGGGTCACATTCATCACCACGTAATGACGCACTATCAAGTTGAATAGAGAAAACTTCAGGTTAAATGATTTTTAAAAAGGAAATCATGAATTATGTGTTTCAAATAATTATCTTCCCAAAATCGATGAGTTTGTCATTGTTCAATTATTATTTTTTAAACCAAGTAATTATCTTAAAAGTCGCTAGAAAAGAAACTTGATTCGTACTTCCGGAAAAGAAATGAGAAACACCGCCTTTACTTCCCTTTACTCACCCCAACTCGTTCATTTAAAGCCAACTCAAGTGACCCTAGAAAAAGGGGGCGGGTCAAAGTCTAAGCGTATAAGATGCTTATTGTTACAGAGCGAAAGCCTAGTGGTGCTGTGGAAGTGGCGGACTTCATATTTTCAGTTTCGTCCACATCCCGACGACAAGCGGACGTTTTTGCCACCACACGCGTTGATAGTTCAGTGAGGATCTGTTTATCTTCTGAGATCCACTTTGCACGGTGAGGCCTTGTTCGAGCGTAGCCAAGAAGCTCTCTCGAGATACCATCGAGGGAAGCCATCACTTGCGATATTCATTCAATAAATGAAAGATTTAAGATACTTACTTCATTGTTTAGATTTTACAGCACACATCTTTAAAACAAAAAGAAAAGAACACAATAAATATTTGTCTGTGTTGCGTGTTTAAGCCAAGCTGCTCTGTCAACTTCAACTATGACACCACATGGTGATCAAGATTTTATCAGAACGACGTCACACTACATGAACATGAGTGTCCAGGACTACTTGGCACACCTGCAGCATGAGTCAAATCTGAGAAATATACCATCGTTCATTTATCTCTTTGTTCTTGGAATTATGGGATTAATCGGGAATTCCCTGATTCTAATCGTGTACTCGCGCAAGAAGAAGGAGACTGCTACAGTTGTGTTTATAAAGTCTATAGCAGTTGTTGATTTGATCACGAATGTCCTCATTATACCGGGTAAATATAACCTCTGTCCGTAAATCTAATGAGATGTTGCACAAGAAAATGTATCTCAGAAAGTGGATCAATCAGTTACGCCAATCAATCTAAAACATTATCTTATCCACGCATTCTTTGTCACATAAATTTGTCCATCGATTCCTTCAGTGATCCACCCATACATTAACAAACATAGTAAACCATCCAACTATTCACCAGTCTGGACCTACTTCTAAATAGATTGTTCCTCCCTACTTCGAGCCCCATCCATGGTCATTGTCCATATCTACTCCATACCTTCTTCAAATTACCTCAAGATTCACTGTATATTTACTATTTTTTCTACGCTGTATGTAATCTGCATCTAATCTATATTCACTCTATATTTATCCTATGTTAACTCTATATTTCATTTATATTTACTCTATTTTTCATCTCTATTTAATCTATAATCACTCATTATATATCTACCCTATATTTGCTCTATATTTCATCTATTTCTCACTATAGTTACTCTATATCTACTCTTTATTCTGCATTTACTCTATATTTCAATCATATCTACTCTGTCTACCCTGTATTTACCCTAAATCTACGTACACTTGTTTTTTCAGCGACCACGTACGTCAACCTCAACACCTGGAACTTCCCCCTGCCATCCCTCTGCAAGGCTTACATCTACCTCAACATCGTGACAGCTGTCACTCCTGCCATTAACATCTTAGCGATTGCAGTAACAAGGTAATCATGACACTTGTCAGGAGTAGATTGCGCCATTTCATTTAAGTTTGCATCCCATGAGATGATTCTGTCCAGGATACAAATTTCGAGTGTCCGTCTGATAACGTGACAAAATATTCCCATTGCTCAACTCGAGCTTTACAACAACAAAAAAAAAGATCCTGTTTGAAGATATTTTTTTATAGTTGTTATTAATTCTATTCTTTGGTCCAAATTTTAGTCATGCAGTATTTTCAATAAATAAATGTAGAATACTAGATGATAGAATACTAGATGATAGAATACTAGATCACAGAATACTAGATGATAGAATACTAGATCATAGAATACTAGATCATAGAATACTAGATCATAGAATACTAGATCATAGAATACTAGATCATAGAATACTAGATCATAGAATACTAGATCATAGAATACTAGATCATAGAATACTAGATGATAGAACACTAGATCATAGAATACTAGATCATAGAATACTAGATGATAGAATACTAGATCATAGAATACTAGATCATAGAATACTAGATCATAGAATACTAGATCATAGAATACTAGATGATAGAACACTAGATCATAGAATACTAGATCATAGAATACTAGATGATAGAATACTAGATCATAGAATACTAGATCATAGAATACTAGATGATAGAACACTAGATCATAGAATACTAGATCATAGAATACTTAAAGCTAGAACTCTGGTCCATATCATAACGCATGAAACTGTCTAACCCGTAACAGGTACAGAAAAATATGTCATCCATTCGGCTGGCAAGTGTCGACCCGGCAAGCAAGGGCCGTCACCATCACCGTAGCAATATTTTCGTGCCTACTGTGTGTTCCTTACACCGTAGTCCACGGACAACAGACGATACCCACGCCAAATCCCGCGATCAATGGAAGCGAGTGCCGCATCGAGGACGACTACGTCCACACCAGATGGCCGTCCATCATCATCGCTGTCATCATTTTGACCTTCCTACTGTGTTGCGTACCTTTGACGATCCTCTACGTGCTCATTGGGAAGCAGGCATGGCGGCACCGGCACAGGGCTACTTCCTTTTCAAAAGGGAAGAGCTTCCGAGTTGTGAACAGTCCTTCCGGGACGAATTTACAGGAAAGTGACGATCAAGGATATACTGCTATGAGCACAGAATCGGAAATGTTGGATACTGAGGAACGGGACGATTCCACACAACAGCGAGACGATACCACACAACAGCGAGACGATACCACACAACAGCGTGAAGATTGTTCTGAAAAGGGAAAAGATAAAAATGTGACGTATGGTGGTGCAGAATTCAAGGCCAAGAATCCAACGCCCCTGACGTCGGTCTTTCTGTCCAAGGCGCCCCGAGCTTCTATAAAGCTAAAGAGTGGGGACCAGAAGAGCGTCGGGCGGATCACCCGCATGCTGTTTGTCATCAGCGCCGTCTATGTGCTCACCAACCTCACGACGCTGGTTCTCGTCTTCCTGAGGGCAGCCATATCTGAGACTGTGGCGACACTCAGTCCCGCGGCCGATGCAATCTTCAGGCTCTTCTACATGAGCTTCTTGATCAACTGTGCCGTGAATCCGATCATCTATAACTTTTACGACAGGAATTTCCGGAAGGAATGTTTCAGGATGCTTAGTTTCTCACGGAAATGACCGGTTTCTTTTCGTCAGTGAATGAAAATTGGGTGACTTAGTCATCAGCGTTGGACGAGAGAAATCAACAAACGAACTTCGAGTTTTCTATCTTTTCTTATTCATTAAAGAAAAATGACAACGTTCGATTTTTTTCCATGGCGATTAACTTTTTAAAGTAAGTTAGTGAACTTGATCCCAACAGCTGAACAATCCCGACACAACAGCTGGATTGGCGAATAACAAAAAGGTTGGAATGACACTACGGCCCACACGTCCCTGACACACCGGCACACACGGGACTGACACAACGGCCCGCACGTCCCTGACACATATGAACACACGTCCCTGACACACGATGAAAAGATTGATTGGTCGTGAAGAAGAATACCAAAACAATGTATCAGGATTGGGAAACTGAAGGAAATAATGTATTTCAGCTTCCGGAGGGGTACATCATCATTTAACGCCGAACGAAAACATTAGTTACACCTGGTTTCATCACCAGATTCACCTGAGTACATGATACATCATCAGGTACAATTGGGTACATCTTCAGATACACCTGGATGCATCATCAGGTACAATTGGGTACACCTTGATAACCCATCAGGTACAGTTAGGTACATCATCGTGTACAACTGGGTTTAACATGTACCCATGGTGTCTTCAGAACGCTGTACCGTAGCATCAGCCTGAATCAACCACGCGATTATGTCTCCGAAATATCATTGCCTTGCCATTAATAAATTAAAATTTGCACATATTTTTTTTCAATCTTGAGAGTCTTCGATGTTTTTTAAAAGACTGGTCTGTATCAAGCTTTAGGTGAACCACTGTTTGGCCAGAATAACTGTTAGGTCGCAAGTTGGCAATTCAAACAGAGTATTGGCCTCTTGTTCGAACGGAGTTCGTGTGTGTGTGAAGATCATAGATAATCATCAAATGAAAAAAAAATCAAAAATTATTACAAAAGATAAGATAAGATTCTTTTATTGATCCAAATAAATGGAAATGTTTTATGATTGCATTGTACATTTTCAGCACATATTTAAAAAAATTTGAATACAAGGCATTAGTAATAAATTTTTCACTAGCAGCCATTCAGTGAGTTCTTAGCCATATCAGGGACTTATTAGGTCTCATTAAGATTTGTGACTTCAGGGGAAGAAAAGCTGGAAGAAAGGAAAAATCCCATCGATTTGCCTGAAGTGCCGAGCCTCGAAAGCAATTTATAATGAATGGCGATTGTATCCGACTTTGTCAGAGAAGGCCAAAAAAGTCAATTTTCCCCCCTGACTGTACAATAATATTATGCTAGCAATCCTTTCGCTTCTTGGTGTGTTAAAAATAGATCTGGACAGGAAACTACCATTATTATTTATTTAGATTTAAGATTATAATAACATTTAAGAGCTGAAACTTGTTCGTGCATTGTTTTACCATTCATAGTTGGGGATGTATAACAGATCTTATATTAAAAAAAACAGAACACATTTTTTTTGCTGTCAGTTCACGTGTAGAATTCAGGTTTTGTGCTTTGTTGCATGTTGCTCACACACATTTTAAATATTTATAATGCTATGTAATGTATATGTCACATAAATGGTCATAAATATCCAGAAAAAAAATCTAGATTCCAGAGTGCAGTAAGTAGGGCACATCATGAATGTGTAAGCTCTTGCAGCTTGCGAAGGAATAGATGAATACACATTTAGAAACTTATTATTCGAAATAAATAATACAATTATCAAGATATTGGGGCTAAACTTTCATACTTATAGCTTCCAGGTTCAATTTTTTTTGTTTAAAGCGGCAAGAAGGGAACAGACTCTACTTGGCACCTATAGCAGTTATAATAAGCGCACAAAGGCTCCACTCTTTTAAACAGGTCACGTGTCACCTAGTAAAATAAAGGTGGCTAACCGATGGGTTATGAGGGGGAAAAATATATATTGGTTTTCTCCCTTTACATTGTGCATTTTTTCCCAAATTTGCCTTTAAAAGACAAACAGTTTGGGCTTTAAATGTTACTTCCACCCACTTTCTTTCCGTTCTTCTTACCTTTGTTTTCGTCAGGGTCTTGCGCCACTCTTCATCTTTTCTTTCATTTTCAGGTAGGATACATACATAAAGAGAGAAATAAATAAATATATATATTTTATACTAATTTACACTTATGGGAATTTTTTTTTTTTTTTTTTTTTTTTTTTTTTTTTTTTTTTTTTTTTTGGCACTGATGAAGGCATTTGCCGAAACGCCTACATTTTTATTCTGTATGATCATTAAAGCTCATTACATATATTTTTTTAATTTACACAAATTGTTTGTGTCCAATTAATCTACTTTAAAGCTTTATAGCAGTCCAAATGCTGTTATAATCTTATATGAAAGTCAATGTATTAGCACACTAGTCAACAACGATTTTGCCACTCAAATTTAAACATATGGATTGTGTGTAGATTAACGCACTGGTTTCAAATATGAAGTCAGACTCTGCTTAGCGGGTCTAGATTTTAAGAAATGTATGTAAATCAATTAAATGGCCGGTGTTGACTAGGGCGCAATGCACCCCACCCCCTTGAAGGATATTGCACGAAACTTGTCCTTTGACTCATTTGGGGATGAACCTAGCTTCAGCGGTTTTGGCAAAAAGATTTTATTATACATTATAAAATTACACAGGTTTATAGACCAAATTAAACTAAAATCATCTAGTCTTAGTAGTTTTTGAGCGATGACACAACAAAATTGAAAATGTAAGTTTAGAAAATGGCTAAAACTGGAATTTTCCATTGTATTGCGCATGCGCCTCGCCCAAATAATAAGTGGAGTCCTCGGAAGCCATAGTTTTCCTAGGGCTCAATACGCCCATCCCAGTCGTCCTTAGTATACATACATATTTTAAACTGAAAGTTTTTATCTATTTCTGTACTGATGTGAACGGTCTCATGCTGAAGTTGGGTTGCAAATACATTCAGGACCGGTGGATTGCATAGATTCCAGCAAGGCGAGCTTTAAAGATGCGTTGTTCCACAATGGTAACGAAAAAAGCTTATGTTCTTATAACTGACTCTGTAGGCCTTAAAGATGCATCGGATTCAGGGAAATTCATTTTGAAACTGATGGTCAACTTAGGACACAAATGAAAAATCCGTGGTAGAACTTCTTATAAGGTTTCCCCTGGGGTATAAAAAAATGTGTTGTTGTTTTTTAGAGGGTTGTGGAACAGTCGTGATGATAGCAACCATTACAAAGTGAAACAGTGGCTATCTAGGTCTGATCACATTGTCGGTCGGAAGACCCTTCAACACGAATGATTGTGTACGTACCGCCACTTTAATTTAATTGGGCCTCGTGAACAATTCTTTTAGAACTAAGCTGAACCCACTTGAACCACCCCCCCCCCCCGGGATGCATGCACACTGGTGGTGTACAACTTTTTTATGTGAGTAACCGAGCTCGGAGAAATATGCTTGCAGCCGACAAGCAGATCAGCTCCTGGTGCCCCTGAAATGCATTTCTTACAATCTCGTCTGGATTTTTATCGACCAAGCTTGGTTAATGAAAGTGGTGAGCATGGAGAGAGATATCATCGATACGTCTTTACCTTGGATCAATGTGGGAAGGTCACTGAACATTTTATACACGAGTGGGGGGGGGGTGGGGGTGGAATTACTGTTGGTTTGTCCATCAGACAACAGCGACGACTCACAAGCAAAGAGCATATAAATGTAGAATATTTGAACTAATATGGAATAAGCTGAACATGGAATTTTTTTTTTAGATGTTTGCGTTCATCTGAGTAAAATTACATATTTTTAAAATACATTATCATACGAATGTTTTCTCATAAATTTTAATTTATTGTTTAACACATTTAGCCATGCTCTTAGTTAGATCTAATATTCGCTTCTTTATTTAAGAAATCAAACATAAAATTTATTATTTGAAGAAAAAAATTGTTTAAAGTTTTATTTTAAAGTCAAATTATTCAAGAATGATTGAACTTTGTTTAATGTTATGACAACTCTAAGTATAATCACCCAGTTATATATGAAAATAATAGCTCTGTAATTTATTTGCACGTGAAACTTTATAACGTAAGATCCGGACGTGCATTAAAAAAAATTGACTTCAGATTTGAAATGAACATACTCGATTTAGTATAAACCACACGATAGATGTCAAGTGGTAGACCAAACTTTTGCTGTGCAGTATTTTTGAATAGTATCCTGTTTTCTATTAAGTGTTTGGCTCGTACCCGAACTTCTGAATCTCGACTTCTCGTCCCATTTCATCGCAAAAACCACATAATAGGCACTAACTACAACGAAGAGCAATTATGTCTTCTCATCAAGACATGGCCTAAACTTATTTGACTTATCCCCATTAGTCTTTGGGACACCTTCAGTCACCCAGTGCGAAACTCTGTCATTCAGCTCTGTGACACCTTTAGTCCTCCAGTGCTCAGCTCTGTGACACCTATATTCCTCCAGTGTTCAGCTCTGTCATTCTGGTCTCTGAAACCTTTAGTCCTCCAGTGGTCAGCTCTGCAATTCTGGTCTATGACAACTTTAGTCCTATAGTGCTCAGCTCTGTGACATCTTTAGTGTTCAGCTCTTTCATTCTGGTCTATTGAATTTCCTTTCCTATATTATCATCCTTTCTTTCGGCTATTTACTGTCGGTACACATTTTAACTCTGCTGATAAACTGAACATACTGCTTATTGTAATCTCATCTCACCCCCTTCCTGGCACCTTTATCCCCCCCCCCCAACTTCCATGCAACCACTTCTACTGTGATTTCACGCATTTCCTCATTACATTGTATAGACATTGCATAGTCATGGTATAGTTACTGTATAGTCATGGTATAGTTACTGTATAGTCATGGTATAGTTACTGTATAGTCATGGTATAGTTACTGTATAGTCATGGTATAGTTACTGTATAGTCATGGTATAGTTACTGGATAGTCATGGTATAGTTACTGTATAGTCATGGTATAGTTACTGTATAGTCATGGTATAGTTACTAGATAGTCATGGTATAGTTACTGTATAGTCATGGTATAGTTACTGTATAGTCATGGTATTGTTACTGTATAGCCATGGTATAGTTACTGTATAGTCATGGTATAGTTACTGGATAGTCATGGTATAGTTACTGTATAGTCATGGTATAGTTTTCATGGTATAGTTACTGGATAGTCATGGTATAGTTACTGTATAGTCATGGTATAGTTACTGTATAGTCATGGTATAGTTACTGTATAGTCATGGTATAGTTACTGTATAGTCATGATATAGTTACTGGATAGTCATGGTATAGTTACTGTATAGTCATGGTATAGTTACTGTATAGTCATGGTATTGTTACTGGATAGTCATGGTATAGTTACTGGATAGTCATGGTATAGTTACTGTATAGTCATGGTATTGTTACTGTATAGCCATGGTATAGTTACTGTATAGTCATGGTATAGTTACTGGATAGTCATGGTATAGTTACTGTATAGTCATGGTATAGTTACTGTATAGTCATGGTATAGTTACTGTATAGTCATGGTATAGTTACTGTATAGTCATGGTATAGTTACTGGATAGTCATGGTATAGTTACTGTATAGTCATGGTATAGTTACTGTATAGTCATGGTATTGTTACTGGATAGTCATGGTATAGTTACTGGATAGTCATGGTATAGTTACTGTATAGTCATGGTATTGTTACTGTATAGCCATGGTATAGTTACTGTATAGTCATGGTATAGTTACTGTATAGTCATGGTATAGTTACTGTATAGTCATGGTATAGTTACTGTATAGTCATGGTATAGTTACTGTATAGTCATGGTATTGTTACTGTATAGCCATGGTATATTTACTATAAAGTCACTATATACACATCGTATAGACACTGAATAGTTATTGTTAAGTCACTACATAGACACCGTATAGACACTGAATAGTTATTGTTAAGTCACTACATAGACATCGTATAGACACTGAATAGTTATTGTTAAGTCACTACATAGACACTGATTAGTCACTGCATAGACATTATATTTTAGTTGTATGAATGCGTGTTCGGAAATTAGTAATTCTTTCTAAACCAATTTTTATTAAAATAAATTTTGTTTGAACTGAGGTTTGTTTAAGTGGAAGTATGTTCGGGTGGAGTTTGGTTCGAAAGGAAAGTATGGGGCACAAACACAAAATATTCTTTTATTATAAATTTACATTATACCTGCTCCACAAAATATTTTTTTATTATAAATTTACATTATACCTGCTCCAATTCTACCCTCGCCTTCATTTTAAAATTAAAAAAAAAAATTTCGTTGAAAGTGTTTCCCTTAGTTCGTTTTGCAATCAATCATTAAAATCACAGATTCAAGTTCGATTACATTTTTTTCTCAGTGATTGTAGTGTCGCCATTCAAAATTTATCAGAAATTAATCACTTATGGGGGGAAAACCTGTCCTTAAATAAAGACATCAACTGTGACAACTGGGAAACTTTTGAGTGACATCGATGACGTCAGTACACTGACTCTCAAAAGAATGGCTGCATCTTTACAGTGAAAGACATTTTCAGTTTCACACAACCCTTGAAAAGAAATCCATAGCTAGAATTACAATAACTAAGGTGTGCACTTGACTTAGGGTTTAAGTCGAAGGCCTCGGGATATCCTCCAAAACAAATGAGAGCGAGCTCTCGGTTAAAGAGAACTCGAATAATCCGCCTTTACTGTTAAACTATTTGTATTTTTAAGTTTAACACAGACATCACCAACCCCCCCCCCCCTTTTTTTTTTTTTTTTTTTACAAGCTTGAACCTTTGTAGGATGTCACTGTAAAAAAATAATCTGACTCCATCACTCCTTTTGTACTTTGAGCCGATGGCTCAGTTACGGCCATGCTTGAAAGAGAGTAGCTCGGGGAAAACGTCAATTGAATATTTCCGGGTCACGTACAACAACTAGACAGACGAACTAAATATTGTTTAGTTTTGACAACTACACTGTGCCAGGCGAAAGCATCTGTCATAGAATGTGTCATGGTTCACTTCTCGTGAGGAAGGCGACGCAAATGTACACGTTCGCCTGCATCTCATGACGGGCTATTTCATGTGTAACACTGCAAGGTATCTGCAAGGTATGTTAAACTAATGTTAAGCAAATTTGTCCAATAGTGTACGTGCAGACGTATTTCTACTTCTCAAACTTTGGGTGGAGAAATAATACCAACGTTTCGAAATTAAGTTTAAGCAGCTCAGCTTCCATGTAAACGTCTTTGCTTCCACAGCTGTTCTCATTACAACCGATCGTCCCGCACTGCATCCCACATGATGACCAGATCACCTTAAAGACACAGAAGTGCCTGCAGCGTCATTGCCATGGAGAAGACAGTCCTGATTAACATCCCTTCACTCATTTACCTCGGTGTTATCGGAGCGATGGGAACAGTCGGGAATTCCCTCATTCTCATCGTGTACTCTCGCAAGAAAAAGAAAACGGCCACAACAATCTTTATACAGTTCCTAGCAGTCGTGGATCTGGTGACCGATGTGGTGATAATCCCAGGTGAGATTGTATTATATGGAAAGAGAGCGTTTAAGTTTGAATTATCATTTCCCTTTAAAGTGTTTTTCTTTTTCATGTTTAAATCCTTTTTTTCCCTTAAAAACTCGCTTTGTTTGTGTGTTTCTGGCTGGAAAACTCTTCAGACGGTTAATTGACTTACTTCCTGTCAACTTTTCTTTCAAATTTTCAGCCCCACCCCAACCTCCGAAATTCTGTTTTTCCTGTTTTTTCCAGGAGAAGATGAAGGAAATACGACGACACTGATACACGAAATAAAATTACAGATAGCAGCGCTAAATGAGATTCTTAAAGCGAAAATCGCAAGTGCGTTTCTGAAAAACTTGATGAAATAAATATGCTGCGTAAAAGCTTGCGTGGCTTAAAAATATTAACATAAAAATATAAAAAATGCAAATAAAGGATTTATAAGAATAACTTTGTTTTTAGGGGGTTGCTTGATTCTTTCTCTGATATTCACTGATAGACACTCACAAATGGTTCAATACACAACATTTCGATTATGTCTGAAGGAGATATTCGCACTATAGTAATGGTGGTCTAAAATGTTTGAACCCGGGTCTGAACTGTTGCAATGCGATTAAAATGCCGGTGTAAAGAGTTGGTTTTAAGCGCAGGTGGCGTAACTGCGCAATTCAGTTAAGTATTAACAGCAGCGGCGTCACTAAGTTAGGTGTCATCCAGTACGGTAAACGTTGGTATCAGCTGTCTTTAGACTCCCCCAATGACCCCCCCCCCAGGCCTGCCTGCTCTTGTGACACCCTGCAATGGTAACAATCTTCTGTCTGGTGAAATCCTGTTTTTTTTTCTTTATGAAATCTGATCGGCTATGAAACCGTCTTGATGGGAATCTGCAAAATCTGAACATTTCCATTTAGCGTCATACTCTGGCAGGGCGTCAACTGACGCGTTCCCCACCTCCGCATCCCCTAGTGACGCTACTTACTTCATAAAGTTGTGCATTGAATGAATCGTGAAGTAAACATTTGAAACAAACCTAAATTATGTCTTACAATCCCACATGCATCCCATCCACTTTAAGGCCCCCCCCCACACGCAATACGTCCACTTTAACCCCTCCACCACACGCATCCCATACACTATAACTCATCCACCACATGCATCTGTACTGTACTTGTACCTACTGTAAGTGTAGCTACTGTACTTGTAACCAATGTACTATTACCTACTGCAAGTGTAGCTGCTGTGATTGTTAATGTTTCCAAAAAAAAAAAAAATTAATTTAAAAAAAAAACACCACCAAATTAGCGTACATTAAAAAAAAATTAACGATGCTAGCTCTAAAGCGCATTGGGATTGATGACGGGAAGTGGGTCAACATAATGTAAGATAAAGGATTTTTAAAATGTTCCAACCGTGAAACAAATCAACAAACCGTAACATCTCGGAAACTATCTCTTTTAAAAATCCTTTATCTTGCATTATGTTGACTTCGCTTTTGTTCGTGCGTGTTTAGGGCAAAATCTTTGAACGGCCCATCGACCCACTTCCCGTCATCCTTTCGAACCGTGGAGATTAATTGTGAAGTTGTTGCTAAGGGGCCTTGTATTTGTGACGTATTGGGGTATGCAGTAAAAAATAAAATGTATTTTTGAACGTGGAAATTGAAGGAAATATGATACGTGTTTTCACCAGAAGGTGACCCATTTACATAATCGCTTCTTAATGAATGAGAGATATGAACAACCTTGTTTTCGGTCGTTGTTTAAATAAATGCATATTTTATTTATTAATTACATTAATTTTAAAAATACCCTATTTAATTTTTAGTGTTTATGAAAGTATTGCTTAAACACTAAAATTATTGGGGTAATTTTTTATTTTATTTTTTTTTATTAAAAAAAAACCTATTTAATTTCTAGTGTTTATGCAATAATTTCATGCCTCTGGCTTGTCTTAGAGGATTCTCTAATATTATTTAAAAAAATCAATTTTGCTGTCTTCGTCCAGCCACTGTGTATATTAGATTGTTCTACGGGGACTTTGGCGTTGCCTACCTGTGCAAAACGTACGTCTTTGCCAACATCACCATGACGGTCGTCCCAATGCTTGCCATCCTGGCCATAGCTGTCACCAGGTAACCTTTTACCATTTCAACCAAGCAGACTCCTTTTCAAAGTTTTATTCCTACCTATTCAATACAGTAATACATGCGAACCTAAACTCTCAGAAGGGGCGCCTATGCCCCTCCTCGAGAGATAGACGCCAACCCCCACCCCCACTCCACCATGGACCTAGGTCAAGTCAGCATGTATTGGCTTGCAGTGTTTCTGTCAGACAATTCGTTTCAGGGGGAAAAAAGGCGGGTGGAATTTCATATGTTCGAGTCGGCAGTGCCAGTGGCGTAGGAGGGGGTGGAGGTGGCGATTCACCCTAGTGTCCTTTTTTTTCTCTTTATGAAGGGGCAACATTTTCAGCTTAGACTTATATTGAAATTTAGCTTCTCTTAAGGAAGGAGTGTACATTTTAATATTTTTTTTGTGTGTGGACGTTTTCCACAATTACCAAAATCATTTTTGCGTATCGCCAGCGGTTTTCAAGTGATGGTTTTATCAGAGTTTTGGATCCTTAGGGTCAAGACTTTTTGTCTCAGCTAATTGTTGTTATTGATTATTGTAGCTAAAAAAGTTCCGATACTGTCATTTTGATTGAAAGGAAAAAACATCGAGGAAACCAACGACCCCCAAGTGAAAATCAAGATGTGCATTTTGAAGTAAACCTGAATTCAGTCTTTCTTTCAGAGAATTTGATCCAGGGATGGGAAATTTCAGGAATTGCGGAGTGGGGGAAAGGCATTCATCAGTGCGTAAATTAAGCATTATGTCGCCCAGGGCCAAACGTAGCCTGAATTCATTCAAGTTGTGGCAAACCAAGGGGTATTCTTTTGGTCTCAACTTAGTTTCACTCCCGTAAAGTCACATTGATGGGCGTGGGGGAGATAAAAAGCGGAAGTCGAGGGTGCCTTTGTCTCCCGAGCAAAAATATTGGGGAATAGGCTAGGAGGGGGGTCTGGATGAGCTTTTCTCCAGAATTTGGTTTGATAAAATCAAATGAGAGATGCAGTTTTGCTCATGATATAATTTAGTTTTGCAGGTACAATTACATAAATATCAAACAAAAATGCTTATAAAGATTTAAAAAATAAAAAACAAACTTTTTAAGGGTTTGTTTTAATTATCTGTGAAAGGAACTCAAAGATTTTTAAAATAAAAATGTCTGTTTCTTTTTGTACATATTTTACACCAGAGTGGGGTGGACGCACTCCAAAATTGGATTGGACTTTTTAAATCCTCAGCTCATCCCAACTTTATTTATTTCTTAAATTATAATTGTTATATTTTCCTTTCCATATTTATTTTTAGCTGGAGAAATTCAAAACCCTCCAGCTCAAGTTTGAAGCAGCTGCCCCCCCCCTCTTTTCGTGTAGGCGCCCCTGAATCCCGGTGCTTCCAGAAGTTATGAATATTTTAAAATCTCAGTGATGTAGCAAGTTGTTCAGTGGGACTCAGCGTATTTTAAATTAATATTTTATTGTATCGTTGGCTGTTGAACCACATTTTGACATGATTTCATTAACAAAAAAAATAATAATTTATATTTTTCACATGCTAATGAAAACTTGATCAATCTGTATATTGATTCATATTATATGTTACATGATGTCAAAATAAATATGTAAAAATTAGATGTTATAAAAGATTTAAACAACACATTCATAAAATATAATATGTTGTTGCACTACTGAAAAACTGTGTCCAATATGATTTAAATCATTCTATCCATTGTTACCAGGTATCGAAAAATCTGCAAAACCTTCGGCTGGCAGGTGTCACCCTACCAGGCCAAGGTCACCTGCGGGGTCATCGTTGTGGTCGCAAGTCTGGTTGTCAGTCCTTACATAATCGCCAGATCAATGCGGCAACCTTCGTCCACCAACGGCACGGTGTGTTACCTGGACGACACCCACGTCCCGGACGACACCACCGTCCCGGACATTTGGTCGATAGTGACCCACGCTCTGATCCTACTGGTGTTCCTGCTTTGCTCCTTGTCTTTGACGATCCTCTACTGGCGCATAGGAATGACAGCTTGGCGTCCCCGGTTTGTGCACCTAGCATGGTCCTTATCCAAACGCAAAAGCACGGAGAACGGGCGAAACTTATCCAATCTCGGATTCGAAGAAGACACCGTGACGCGTCAACAACCCACGACTTCCGGCAGCGACAACAATGCCGTCGACACGGAGGACAGCACCGAAACCTACGAAACACCGAACAACGCCTGCTCCAACAACTCCACGCTGGACGCTGACGCGAGGCTCAACGTTGAGGAGAACTCGAATTTTATGCCAAACTTCAAAGCGTACGTCTCGAAGGAGAACGAAGCCCGACTGAAGGCGTCCAGACGAAAACGACCGTTCTGTGGTAGAATCACCCGGATGTTGTTCTTCATCAGCGCCGTCTATGTCCTCTCCTACCTCACCAGCATCACGCTCTCCGTGGTGAGAGTGGCCATCCCTGGGGTCATTCTTTCCCTGAACTCAGGTCCACAGGCCGTGTACAGCCTGTTTCTGTTGAGTTACCTAGTCAACTCCGGCGTCAATCCAATATTCTACAGTTTTTACGACAGGAACTTCAAGAAGGAGTCCAAGAAGATGTTTAAATTGATCACGCGCAGAAAGAATGGATGTTTGTAACATGAACAGAACGCCAATAGGATATGTTTAACATGAACAGAACGCCAATAGGATATGTTTCACATGAACAGAACGCCAATAGGATATGTTTAACATGAACAGAACGCCAATAGGATATGTTTAACATGAACAGAACGCCTATAGGATATGTTTCATATGAACAGAACGCCAATAGGATATGTTTAACATGAACAGAACGCCAATAGGATATGTTTAACATGAACAGAACGCCAATAGGATATGTTTAACATGAACAGAACGCCAATAGGATATGTTTAACATGAACAGAACGCCAATAGGATATGTTTCACATGAACAGAACACCAATAGGATATTTTTCTCATGAACAGAACGCCAATAGGATATGTTTAACATGAACAGAACGCCAATAGGATATGTTTCACATGAACAGAACGCCAATAGGATATGTTTCACATGAACAGAACGCCAATAGGATATGTTTCACATGAACAGAACGCCAATAGGATATGTTTCACATAAACAGAACGCCAATAGGATATGTTTAATAATTTTGTAAAAAAAAATTGTTTTTGAGCAGATAAACGTTTCTCTCTTTTGTTTTGTTTTGGCTGTAGGTTGAGTGAAAATTTTAACTTTCAACAAGCAATGTAAACTATCGCATCATCATATACTTATTAAAGAGGATGTGTTAACTGTTTTATAACTCTGGAAGAGACCGAATTAGCTGCTTGAAACAAAAAATAGATTGAATTAGCATTAAACCACATTGCAAATTTGTAGTCCTTCTTCGCTAAGCAAATTTGATTAGAATCAAGTCCGTATATGTTGAACTGTTCAGCAAGTCATGATAAAACAAATATTTTTTAAAATTACATCAAACCTTAACGATTCGGCATTGACTGCGGTTAACAAGTCCTTCAAATTGCTGCCTTCAAATTACTGCCTTCAAAATTGCTGCCTTCAAATTGCTGCCTTCAAATTACTGCCTCCAAATTTCTGCCTTCAAATTGCTGCCTTCAAATTATGCCTTCAAATTGCTGCCTTCAAATTATGCCTTCAAATTGCTGCCTTCAAAATACTTCAGTCAAATAAGTGCATTCAAGTTATGCCTTAAAATAACTTTCTTCAAATTACTTCCTTCAAATTACTTCCTTCAAATTGCCGCATTCAAATTACTTCCTGCGAATAACTTTCTTCAAATTACTTCCTTCAAATTACTTCCTTCAAATTACTTCCTGCGAATAACTTTCTTCAAATTACTTCCTTTAAATTACTTCCTTCAAATTACTTCCTGCGAATAACTTTCTTCAAATTACTTCCTTCAAATTACTTCCTTCAAATTACTTCCTGCGAATAACTTTCTTCAAATTACTTCCTTCAAATTACTTCCTTCAAATTGCCGCATTCAAATTACTTCCTGCGAATAACTTTCTTCAAATTACTTCCTTCAAATTACTTCCTGCGAATAACTTTCTTCAAATTACTTCCTTCAAATTAATTCCTGCGAATAACTTTATTCAAATTACTTCCTTCAAATGACTGCCTTCAAACGCCTGTCTTCAAATGAGTGCCTTCAAATTAATGCCTTTAAACTAATGCCTTCAATTTAGTGCCTTTAAATACCATTCCACTTTATTATAGACCGTGATAAAATATACATATTTTACTATAGAACATTGTTCGGCAAACTCATTTGTCAAATAGCCGAAAATCAGCTGCAGGACGATTACATTTTTCGGAGAGTTAAATTTCTTTTCAAGAACCTGTCAAGAACCATGTTTTTCGGAGTCAAAGCCGATTTGTTGCCAACTCGCCAAGACGCACTCAGGTCGCTAAAGAACCGCATAAGTCTCGCGATTTTGCCCACCACTGATACAGAGCATTAAGCTTTACATTTGAGCTTTGTTTCAGTGTAATGCCATTGTTTAAAACTTTAGAACATAGTGTGAACTTAATTCTATTGACGTCTGGCGACAAACTCCAGGTCTTTCATGCTTCTTGTAATAAATAATTAAAAACAAGAGTTTTAATTGTTTTCAATATTTATAGTGTTTTCTTTGACGAAAAGTCATCATTCTCTACGCGACACGCTAGGCAAACATTTAAGTCATCATTCTCTACGCGGCATGCTAGGCAAACATTTAAGTCATCATTCTCTACGCGCGACACGCTAGGCAAACATTTAAGTCATCATTCTCTACGCGGCATGCTAGGCAAACATTTAAGTCATCATTCTCTACGCGCGACACGCTAGGCAAACATTTAAGTCATCATTCTCTACGTGCGACACGCTAGGCAAACCTTTAAGTCATCATTCTTTACGCGAGATGCTAGGCAAACATTTAAGTCATCATTCTCTACGTGGCATGCTAGGCAAACCTTTAATTCATCATTCTCTACGTGGCATGCTAGGCAAACCTTTAATTCATCATTCTCTACGTGGCATGCTAGGCAAACCTTTAATTCATCATTCTCTACGTGGCATGCTAGGCAAACCTTTAATTCATCATTCTCTACGTGGCATGCTAGGCAAACCTTTAATTCATCATTCTCTACGTGGCATGCTAGGCAAACCTTTAATTCATCATTCTCTACGTGGCATGCTAGGCAAACCTTTAATTCATCATTCTCTACGTGGCATGCTAGGCAAACCTTTAATTCATCATTCTCTACGTGGCATGCTAGGCAAACCTTTAATTCATCATTCTCTACGTGGCATGCTAGGCAAACCTTTAATTCATCATTCTCTACGTGGCATGCTAGGCAAACCTTTAATTCATCATTCTCTACGTGGCATGCTAGGCAAACCTTTAATTCATCATTCTCTACGTGGCATGCTAGGCAAACCTTTAATTCATCATTCTCTACGTGGCATGCTAGGCAAACCTTTAATTCATCATTCTCTACGTGGCATGCTAGGCAAACCTTTAATTCATCATTCTCTACGTGGCATGCTAGGCAAACCTTTAATTCATCATTCTCTACGTGGCATGCTAGGCAAACATTTAAGTCATCATTCTCTACGCGCGACACGCTAGGCAAACATTTAAGTCATCATTCTCTACGCGCGACACGCTAGGCAAACATTTAAGTCATCATTCTCTACGCGCGACACGCTAGGCAAACATTTAAGTCATCATTCTCTACGCGCGACACGCTAGGCAAACATTTAAGTCATCATTCTCTACGCGCGACACGCTAGGCAAACATTTAAGTCATCATTCTCTACGCGCGACACGCTAGGCAAACATTTAAGTCATCATTCTCTACGCGCGACACGCTAGGCAAACATTTAAGTCATCATTCTCTACGCGCGACACGCTAGGCAAACATTTAAGTCATCATTCTCTACGCGCGACACGCTAGGCAAACATTTAAGTCATCATTCTCTACGCGCGACACGCTAGGCAAACCTTTAAGTCATCATTCTCTACGCGTGCTATATTTTTATACTTGTCTATGTCAGGAACTAAGGATATTGTAATATATTAATAAGTACACATTTTACAATCCATCAAAGTTTGATTTTTAAATGTGATACAAAAAGCATTCCATAAATTACGTTTCCTAGTTGTTGCCAAAGCTAATCCATATTTCTATATGCTTAAAAAATTATAATAAATTTGATCTTAAAACATTCTAACTAATTTTTTTTGTTTGACATGCCAATTTTTTTATTTTTTTTTCAATGTAAGAAAACTATTATGTTGCACTTTTAAATTGTTATTTTATGTGTTATTGTGGTAGAATTACTATTCCTCTAGCTTCAGTGAAAATTTGACATTTGTAACTTAAATAGTTTTTTTTTTTTTTGTGGTAATTTTTTAGTAGTCAACCTATGTTCAGGGTGTACCCCCCACCCCCTAAAAAATTGTTATTTTACATTGCTTGGAGGGACGTTCAAACAGGTGGTCCTAACCTTGTGATAATTAAAACGTCAACTTACCAGGGCCATTATTACCGGGTCCCTTACCAGGGTCATTATTTTAACTTGAATGGATGACGTCCAGAGTTAAGGCATTTTGTTTTAGGTATTTTAGTATTGAAATAATTACATAAAATTGTATTTTTTTCCCAAGCCCTGTATATTTAACAAAAAAATTTATAGAATTTTCTTGCACGTTTTACCTTGTTACACGCAGTTACAAAGTTTATGAAAATTTCAATGGAATCAAGTTCGTAGAAAATTTAGCTTAGTTTTAGAGATTTCTAAACTCTCCTTGGCATATTTTCGGTAACGGTGAAAATAACTTTAAAAAAATGTTTGAAGTTTCTTCCATATTATAGAACGATCATTTTTATAAGGGTTTTTTGATATATAAAAAAGTCCCCCTTTTTCCTATATAAGTCGATAGGATTGTCCTGAAATGTTATGAAATAGGAATTAAATATACTTTTGAAGTATCTTTAAAGCTCCATAAATGTAGGAGGTTCTGCAATGTATTTTCCTGTAAGGAGACAAAGCTATTCACGAAGGTTTCAATGCAAGATTTGAAGTAAATTGTTGCATCTAGGCCAAAATTTGTGAATATATTGTTTATAACACCTTTTAAAATATAGGTATATTTCTAAGTAATAATATCTACATCTTTTTTGTGGAAGGGGAGGAGTTGCCTTGTCCAATTTTATTTAAAACCAATTTTAATGGGACTATTTTAAAAATAAAGTTCGTTCGTTATTTAACCTAAATTAGTCATTGCTGTCAAATATTAAATAATTTTTTGCGAGGGGGGGGGGCCTCCAAAAATAAAGTTTAAAATGGATAATCTTTGAAAAAAGATTTCGATTTTAATGGTATATGTTTAAAAAAAATTAACTTGAATATTTATCTAAAATTTTAATAGTTCCTTTATCTTAGCGATAGCTAAATTAGCCTCTTTTTGGAATGGGGATCAAATTGAATTTTTTATAGATAAATGGAAATAGTTTTGGAATGGGAGATTTCCTTTTCCAATAAAAAAATAAATAAGACAAGTCCTCTTTTAACTGTTAGATTTTTTTTTTAAATCATGGCATCTGTTTGTGCCCATCTTGATTATTAACTGAAACATGATGTGTTGCAAATTAATTGTTAACAAGGGCTATTATAAATCATGCTCATTATAGAAGACATTTTCTTAAATATTTAAATGCGCTTTAGGGTGACATTTTTGTTTCCTTTCGACCGATAGGGTTACAATAGTGGGCCCATTTTTGAAACTCCAAAAAATTGAATCATTCAACTTTTCATATATTGGCTGCTGGAACTGCTGGGGTAGACGTCTTTTATTTCGTCTTACTGTGCCGACAAAGGCGAGGCGTCACTCTGTGAGAAGACATAGCAAGCTTCAATGGCTCGACCATTGCCAAAACTGTCTTTGCTCCAAGCTTTCGTGTCTCGCCGTTGTCTCCTGGTCGAGGTGTCTCTTTTCCCCCCAAGTACAGCTTCCGGATAGGACATTTCTTCTTCACATGCCTAGAAAATCTTGACGCCATACTCATCTGGTTTGCTGGGTAGGCATTGTATGAAATAGGACCTTCCGTGAAATGTGATGAGTTGATGAGCTGGGAACATAGTGTCAGCTGTGATTCTACTGCTGGGGAAACAGAGTCAGCTGTCATGTTACTGCTGGGAACATAGTGTCAACTGTGATGTCACTCAAGGGAACATAGCGTCTGCTGAGATTTGTTTGGAGAATATCCCGAATTTCTCTAATTGCTGCTTATTTGTCCTTGGCTTTCTTTTATGTTCTAGTTTGCTTGTCATAGAATCGCGTTTTATTGTTTTTATTTCTATCTTTTGTCTTGTTTAATAACATTACTTTAAAAAAAAAGCCTTTAATATAAAACGCCTCCGTGAAATAGGCGTAACTTGATGGGGTTGAGGGGGGGAGGGGGGTAACTGTTTCATCAATTCCTGAAATGATCCGTTCGCTGAACAGGAAGGTCGACACAAAACTTTGATCGCTGATTGGCTGAGACGATACAGCAGACGACAATTAGACCCACTTATATCAAAACTCATAAAATATATTTCCGTCAGTGACTCATTAAAATAGTTATTTATTAGAAGTATAACTAAAAAAAAAACTTCATGAAAGACGCCTAGAAATAATGTATACATCTTGGTGTAATTAGTGCTTACACAGACTTTAATGTAGTTGGACATTTTTAAACCTTAAATATGAGGATATATATTTCACTGTATAGAAATTCAACAGATAAAATACAGTCAAGCCGAGGCATGGACTTTGTTTACCAGGAGTTAAAGGTTAAATATATTGGTTTCACGTCGCAAGACTCATCTCTGTGACAAGGAGACCCAAGCATTCAATACAAACTACTGTGCTTTTGTGGAAGAAGAGCTAACATGAACGTCGGCGACGTCTCGGCGAGCTATTCGGAGAATCCATTGCCGCACGTTCAAAGGCAGCCTTACTTAGACGACCTGCAGAGGAATACGACCGTCATAATGATTCCGTCCATGGTGTATTTGTGTCTGCTGTCAGTGGCCGGGATGGTCGGCAATTCCCTGGTTCTCTACGTGTACTCTTGTAAGTTCTCAAGCTCACCAATCAGAACATTCATCATGGCTGCCGCAGTGTTTGACCTGCTCACGAATACAGTTGTAATCCCAGGTGATGACTAAGGTTACTTTTAAACAGAATAGTTTTAACATATAACAAAGTTTTAAAAAAAAAAATCATTCGCTATTGTAAAAAATTATATAGTCAGTTCGGAATGATTTGCATTTAATAGAGCATGGAAAAAATTAGATTAATATGATAAATTGTGTTTTATGACTAGCAGGTTTGGAACATGTATATACTGTTAGCGTGGGTCCTTAAATGTTTAGTTCAAATGATTCAAGTTATTTTTTTCATGAAATCTTTAGATACTTAGGAATCTCATTTCAATCTAGATTTGAAACCCAAGCAAGCAGCATTCCCCAACTAGACAGTCGAATCTATTTTGACGGCCAATCTCAGTCAAAATTTAAAAAAAAAAAAAAGGCCGTGATATGCTCACTTCAAAACTATCTGATTAATCTCCATATTGAACTTTGTCCTTTTTCAAGTATTTTGATATAGAGACCATCGTGTACACAAACTGATTCATTCCTTGGATGAGTTGTTACTCTCATACAATGAATTACGCTCATCACTGTTCAGATGTCAATCACACAAAACGGGTTGAAGCAAAGTTCTACTTTAGAGTGAATTCGTCGAGAGAATGGATTAGAGAATGGATTGGTCAACTGGGATAGAACAGCTTCATTTATTGTAAGGGCAGTCGGGCCCAAATACATTGTATATGAATTTTGTCCACCAATAGCCAGTCAGAACTTAATGAATATATATAAAAACATTATAGTTAGTGCGTTCTTTGCATGCGAAGATGACCAAGGGCTCAACTTGAGTAGTAGCCTTCACTTGAGATGTATTTGGTTTAAAGTGATAGTTGCTCAATTCATCAGCCTCACTCTCTCGTCCTTTCCTATTTGTTCAAATGGCAAGACTTTAGTCAAGACGACTGGAAATAGACCAGGATGTATGGATGACGACCAGTGTTTCTTATGCCTCACTGCGCTCTTATGCGTTGCACGTCGCAGGAGTTGTCGGAATTTTCATTGTCTTAATGTCATACCGCCTACGGGACTCCATATTTGGGCTTGATTTCAGAATTTTCCTTCTCTTGGATGAGTTGCCATCCAAGTTTAATGAGTCCCCTCCACAGGGGTCATAGAAAATAGTCTTAAAATGACAACAAAGCTATCTTCATGCAAAGATCTGCAAAAGAAGATCAACTTTTGAGCGATAAGGCCTAACCAATAAAGATATTGCATTTAAAGTATCATTATAAAAATTTAACCAATCCTTTTAACCTCCACTATCTGTAAATTCTACACATCTTCTTTTTCCCCATCTCACCCATCGGTTCCATTCTTAACGAGTTATCTACCATCGGCTACACATCAAAACATTCCATTTCAATGGATGTGAATGTTGTGGCCAAACATTTTCATGCATTAATAACCTTCGGCAAAGCTAACAGTGAAGTCTCCTCTCTATGATATAATTTGACAAACTTTCAACGATGAACTTCAGAGATATGCGGATGATTAATGCAATCCTCACTGGTCTTAAAATGTGTCCACTGAAAATGGTGAAGGTCTCAGATGTTAAAACCTTTGTTTCTTTCGCCTTTAAGCCATTTGTTTTACTCCAGTTGGCCATCCTGTGGTTGTAGTTTTCACTTTTGTCTCCAAGTTAACCTGCTCTTTTTGTTCCTTACTCGGTGCATTCGTTTGATTACTGCTTAATTTTCATTTTCCTGGTTGCATTTCAGCTGCAGTTTTAAGCTTGCTTTGAAGGCAGTATGAACTTTTTTCTGTAGGTCTTGGGAAAGTTAAATTTAGATTATTTTAAAAGCAGGTGGACAGGCTGGTAGGTAGACAATTAGGTAGGTAGTCTGGCAGGCAGGTACGTAGACAGGTATTTAGATGTGCAGCTAGACAGGCAGGTAGTTACCTGGATAGATGAGGCCACTCATTTGTTTTTTTCATCAATTTCCAGCCGATATTTTCGACATGCTCCACTCATGGGACTTTGAATGGCCGCTGCTTTGCAAAGCTAGACGGTATTTTAACGCAATCACTACATTAGCTTCAGCCATTTTACTTGTAGCAATTTCCGTGACAAGGTTTGTAAATGTCATTTGTGTTTTTAGCTTTAGTTGTTTGTTTCATTTCAATACATCCATAAGATTGTTTTTAAATAGCTTATCATCGGCGCTTGCGCAAAATGCAAACGTTTTCAAGAATTGAAATGACACTTTAAAACAATAAAGACAACTTTAAAAATGACACTTTAAAACAATAAAGACAACTTTAAAAATGACACTTTAAAACAATAAAGACAACTTTAAAAATGACACTTTAAAACAATAAAGACAATTTTAAAAATGACACTTTAAAACAATAAAGACAACTTTAAAAATGACACTTTAAAACAATAAAGACAACTTTAAAAATGACACTTTAAAACAATAAAGACAACTTTAAAAATGACACTTTAAAACAATAAAGACAACTTTAAAAAATTGCAGGTGTCATATTTATGAGTAGGGTTAGAAATCCACAGCAACTCGTTAGATTAAAGTTAAAAAATGTTGCGAATTTTTTTAGCAAGAAAATAGTTATTTGTTTATGAGGATTGAAGTGAGTTTCTAAAAATACTTGTTCTTTATACCTATTAAAAAAAATCTTTGTTTAAAAAAAAAAATCATTCAGTTTAATGTTATATCTTAATAAAATCAAGTTGCACCTCTTTGATCTCTTGATATTTCGGTTATCTCCCCTTTTTTATAGGTATAGAAAAATTTGTCGACCATTCGGCAGACAAGTGAACATAAGAGAAGCCAAAATCATATGCGGAATAACTGTTGTAATTTCTCTTATGTGTTGTCTCCCTTACGCCATCATGAATGGAAGTCGGAAAAGGCCGACAAATATCCGTGGCATTGATGGTCACTTCTGTGCTATAGACGACTATTACGTCAACACCAAATGGCCACTGGTCAACTCAGCATTTTTTACTTTTATCTACCTGATATGCAGCGTCCCTCTTGTGGTCCTGTACGCACTCATCGGCTCCAAGGCTTTTAGGCAAAGATCTTTTCGCAGGGCTACCCTAAGGCTGATCGTGCCCAGGGATAGAGCAGATGCCAAAGGGACACACGATTGTTCAATATCCCAGAGAACTGAACACATTCCGTTACCTGGGGACAGCTTAGCGACTGCGTCTAACAAAGATGACACGCATCTACCAGCAGGAAGTGACGTTTTGAGGGCGACTGTCAAGAGACAACCGCACGGCCAAACAGTTTTTGTATGCGAGAGTGCCACGCTCTCCAGGATCTGGAGTCTACAAGGCGACAGCGGGGACAATCGAGAGCGATCCTCGGTGATTTTGTTGAGGAAATCATCTAAGCGCGGAGACGAAAGGGTCGAGCGCGTTAAAACAGTTTACAACAACAGCTATTTACGGGAGGAACAATACGTGACGTTTTCGAACACGGAGGAAGGCGGAAGTACAAAAAATGTAATATTGGAAGTAAAATCCAGCAATTGGGATGACGGCACACGGCAAAATTCAGAGGTAATCAACGCAATCGACACGTCCAGTGATGAGGGCACGTACGAAATCTGTGGCGTGGTATCCGCCTCTGAAACATCCACAGAAGCTTCATCAGCACTTCGTGAGGATGATCCCACACCGACACGACCCGCCACCCCAATGAAAGATTCATCATTCACCAACACGACAATCAGCACCAGTCTGGGCGACAGTCTGGGCGACAGTCTGGGCGACAGTCTGGGCGACAGTTTTATGCGAAGACACGAAGAAGACTTGATTCGAAATAAAGACCTTCTGAGTCAATCTTTTGCTAAAACTTCAAAAAAGAAGAAGAAGAAGAACAGAGCGCCTTCCGACAAGTATTTCAAGCGGTTCAGACGACGCATCGACCCCACGTCTTGCATGTTGCTGCTCATCAGCGTCGTCTTCGTTTGCTGCTTTCTGCCCTTCGTCGGTCTGGAGTTCTTCAAGGCGGCCGCGCCTGGTGTCTATGAGTCCATGGACGATGTGTCCACATCGCTGTACCAGCTGTTCTGGAGATCGTATTTGCTCAACAGCGCGGCCAACCCAGTAATTTATTTGATGTGCGATTTAAGATTTAGAAAAGAATGTTTACACATTTTTAGCTGCCAAAATAGTTCCTGATGCTATGATGGGATTCATCACTTGATGCTTTTAAGAAAACTGCATCCAAGTACTTTCTGAATACTCTTGACTTCCGCCACTTCCCAAAAGATTTCAAAATGTCAGTCCTGCCATGATGTTTGCCTTTTTCACGATACCAGCAAAGACAGAACGTTAGCGAACTCTCCACTGTAGAATTCGTTGGTCTCTACTGTTTGGCTGAATTAATTTTTACTGGGTGTATTCTTTATCCACATCCCTTTCGATTTCTTTCGCAGCACTTTCTGATCCATTGTCTTATGGGACAAACGATATTATAGACACCATATCTTGCAATTTTATCTACATAATCTCAGCAAGTAGTGGTAGACAAAAAATAAGAATTCGTCAATTTAAATCTCTTATCAGAGAAATTATCTGTTCAGACAATGATAGTGATAGTGATAAAATGTGTGTGTGTGTGTTTTTTTAAAAATCAAATATTTCATAACAAATTTACATATTTTTGAGCCTGTAAAATGTCGGGTGGAATTGACTCATCAACGTATTAGAGAAGTTATTTTTGGAGCGGATGACGCCCGATTTGAGTAAACATATTCATTCAATTGGCAACATTTGTGGTGATATTGTGCATACGTAGGACTTCTACTTCACTCACCGAGCCACATCTGACACCCGTGCTTTAGGTTTCTGACCCTTGGTTTACAATTTCCCGACACACACCATAAACACAAACATGCAGACGCACACATAAACAAAATAAGAAGTTAATATCAAACACCATGAACAAAATTTCTGGGATTTGTCCTCTTGACTTTGTATTGTCTTTCAATGTTATCACCTACCCCGCCCATGTTGTTCATTGTATTCTCTAGGTACATGTCTAGGTATATGCTGGTACTCACCTAGGTATATGCTGGTACTCACCTAGGTATATGCTGGTACTCACCTAGAGATATGCTGGTACTCACCTAGATATATGCTGGTACTCACCTAGGGATATGCTGGTACTCACCTAGGTATATGCTGGTACTCACCTAAGTATATGCTGCTACTCACCTAAGTATATGCTGCTACTCACCTAGGTATATGCTGGTACTCACCTAGGTATATGCTGGTACTCACCTAGGTATATGCTGGTACTCACCTAGGTATATGCTGGTACTCACCTAGGTATATGCTGGTACTCACCTAGGTATATGCTGGTACTCATCTAGGTATATGCTGCTAGTCACCTAGGTATATGCTGGTACTCACCTAGGTATATGCTGGTACTCATCTAGGTATATGCTGCTACTCACCTAAGTATATGCTGCTACTCTCCTAGGTATATGCTGGTTCTCACCTAGGTATATGCTGCTACTCACCTAGGTATATGCTGCTACTCACGTCTTAATTTGATTTAGCTTCACTGTTAATGGTGGTTTATAATATTATGCATATATTTTATTTCTTGTTGTATTCGAAAAGGTTCATACTATTAAATATCTTACGGTAAAATAATAGTAATACGTTTTTTTATAAAAAGGCATTTATAGTTTAAATTATAGCATTAAACAAAAATAATTCATAGCGACTTTTAAGAGTTGTGTCAAAGTAGACAATAAACTTTGTTCTTTATTTGATATCTTAAATCTGAAGAAAATAATGAGTTACGGGATAGGTTCTGCGCGATCTACACTCGACAAGTCCTCACACTTGACGAGTTGGGCCAGTTATGAGACAGTGATACACACACACACACACACACACACACACACACACACACACACACACACACACACACACAAATATATGAGTAACTCAGTTCTTGAGCTCTAAAAATAAATGTTTTAAAAAATTTCCACCGGAAGTCAACTTGAATCGAAAGCCACGTTACTACTGCACTGTTGTCGTGTTTTGTATGTCCCATACTTTAAATAAAAACACCCACCATATCAATCCATTTATGGAGCTACGCACCTCATCCCCTCATATATAGAACTACCCTTCATGACCTAAAGTTTGATGAATAAACTTCATGTTTTGATGCTGTAGTCAATCATGTGGATGCGGAGAAGTGAAACAGTAGATGACGAGAAAGATGAACAGTTTCAAGAGTAAAACGAAAATATCCCAGATGAGAGTTACATGTTACTGCAATAAAATGGTCCCCGATTGTAAACTCTTTACAACAAGAAACGTGTTTTAAAGTTTACTTCGTTTCAGGTTTTCTGTTTAGGGTAAAGTAATGATAAGTTGATCTTTCTTTGCATAATTTACCTTCTCTTAATTGTCTAAATACTTACTCACGTATGCCTTTTACCCCGTCTGGGGGCATTGGCCGTCTACAAGAATGTTCCATTCATCAGGGTCCCGTGCTTTCTTTTACAGTTGCTACCAGGTGTATCCCATACGTTGTGTGTCTGCCTCTAGCTCGCGTCTCCATGTATTCTTAGGCCTTCCCCTCTTTCATTTTTCCCTGTGGATTACATGTTAGGGATTGTCTGGCGATGTTATGGGGGGGGGGGAGGTTGAGAAGATTTTTGCCCTATCCATCTTCATCTTTGCCTTATGATGTCTTTAGCTTTACGCTCCTGATACGTCCTACCCAGTACGTCTTTGTTAATGATGGTGTTTGGCCATTTGGTGTTCAGGATCTTTCTAAGGCAACTGTTTATCTTCTAAAGAAATATTCTACTTAAGTTGGGTATTATATTTTTTTTTTTTTTACATCAACACCCATACATTCAATCACTTCCAGTAAGGAAATAAAATACAAAAGAAACCAAATATGAACAGGACACGGCACTTGATGACGCAACATTTAAATGCTATCGAACATAATGCTAATTCTCTAGGTATGGATGTGTAGCTGTAATACTGTGTGCAATAGGTGCACAAAATAAAATTCCCAGAATTCACTATTAAGTGGAGTCCTTATAAAATGTGTTACTTGATTGCATGTAGAAATATAGCGGCTCCAATTCCACCCAATAACTGTTTTAAATGGGAGAAACCTAATGGAGTCATGTATGTTCTTTAGTTCGACTATCAGAACATTCACCACGGCTTACGTCCGTTTAATTTTCTTAAAGTCTCCTAACAATAACAATTTGATTTCAAAGACAATTTTAAGAAGCGGTTAATTTGTTCGACTAAACTTTGAGAAACATTACATATCTGTTTCTAAAAAAAACAAAACTATAATAATAGTTTTGTTTTTATATAACCCTATTTATTGGACATATCTTTAGTTGTTGTTTTTTCTAAACACTTTTTTTGTTATAGTTGGACTTCTAGGGGAATGAACAAGTAATTTAAATGTGAATATTTGCTTATGAGCTTCAATCCATCAGCACTTGAATAAAAGAGACATAATAAGCATTAGAATGAGATATATCATCTAAGAAATTAAAATTCAGTACTTTTAAATCTTCTTGTAATGCAAACGGAGGTACTAAAACTTTCTTAATAATTTCCAGCATCAATCATTCACACCAGCATCAATCATTCACACCAGCATCAATCATTCACACCAGCATCAATCATTCACACCAGCATCAATCATTCACACCAGCATCAATCATTCACACCAGCATCAATCATTCACACCAACATCAATCGTTAACACCAGCATCAATCATTCACATCAGCATCAATCATTCTTACCAGCATCAATGATTGACACGAGCATGAATCATTCTTACCAGCATCAGTCATTCACACCAGCATCAATCATTCACACCCATTGACGGGCTCACATGTCATTATTCTATAAAGACTAAACTGCCTTGGCCAGTTGAAGTATCGATATGTTCTACTTCTAAACTACAAGACGTATCTGCCTGCTCTACGTCTACAACCCAAGTTTCTATATGAATTCAGCCTGAAATATCTAAACCAGATGAAGAATTTGTATTATTATATTTACTTCAATGCTTCAAGTGGAGTTAATCGGTCCCCATACTTTGATCGTACTACTTTTATTCGTGGTAATTTGTCTCTTAAAGAAAAGGTATGAAGCGCACATGCATTGCTATAATAATAAAATTGGCATACAAACTGGGAAGATGCCAAAAGTACTCTGTGGGTAAGAAGTCTTTCTGAGCGTTCGAACATCTTCCGATGGATCAACAAAATCTCACTCAGATCAGCAGCAACACAACACAACACAACAGTCTACTGGAACTGGGCAAGGATTTGTTGAACACACGAGTACCACCAAGTGTCAAAAGAGAAACGGTTTTGCGTAAAATAAATGTTCCGTGCTATTCAAAATGAAAAAAATTAATTGTATTAAAAAAGTCCGTGTGTAATGAAAAAAAGGTGTTGCACCTACTATTAATTTTAGGTTTATTAAAAAAATGACCAGTCTCTGTCAGTGTTATTATATACCTTGCCTAAGTCCAGGCAATTTTGATAATGTCTAATGTATTTCACACTTTGACTGAAATCGTCGGGTATTCTATACTTTGCCTGTAACATAGACATAAGGAATACCATAATTCATATGTGTCACCCTGGGCAGTGCAAGGTTTGCCCATGTGCTAAGATGGCACTGCTTGGGTTCCTCGAACGGAACGACCCTGTAGACTAGGCCCGCGAAGTAACGAACTTTTCTTTATTATTATTATTTTCTTAATAGCTTTTGCCCCTGCCTATTATCTTTCGGCCCGCACATGTTTTTCATAAAGTATTACGGCCCGCCTTTCATTTTCAGTTGTGCAAGCCAGCTGTAGACTACTGCAGACTACTGAAGTCTACCGTAAACTACTATAGACCACTGTAAACTACGTACTGTAAATAGCTCTACACACAAAATTCAACTCCAGACTAATTACATTGTTTATAATATAATTTATAATAAAATCCAGTTTGAGTAATCCATTTGTTGATTCCAATCAGGTAGTTGAATAAAATTTAACTTCTAATTGCAATATATAGTACCGATTTTATATTAAAATTCTATTTTAAAGAGAACTTTTGGTTAGTCATAGATTAAACAAGCTAATAGTTTTTACCATAGATTTAAAGTTTGG